ACACACACACACACAAACACAAACACACACACACACACACAAACACAAACACATACACACACACTGTAAGCCAAATAACCCTTTTCTTCTCAAGGTGCTTTTGAACATAGTGTTTACCACAGCAATAGAAAACAAGTTCTGGTTTCGATCCTTTTAGTTACAGTACTATTAACCCATTTCAACAAACCATGACATGGTTTTATTTGTTTTTCGTTTTTTTTAAGCCAAGGGCTCAGATAGTCCAGGCTGGCCTCAAACTTGCTATGTAGCCAAGGATGGCCTTGAACCCGTGATGGGCCGAACTGCTGGGATTACAGGTATGCACCACCATGCTGGGCCTAACAAGTTTCTGAAGTAGAACCTGACGTGCATTCAGAGGCCCAAGAACACCCAACTCTAATGTCGCTGTCTGCTGAGTCACACTCCCACACACTAAGGAGTCATGGTGGTGCCTGGGATGGTCTCCTGTCAGACCCAGCTCAGGGCTTTGCAAGGAAGGCACACACAGAGATGAGGGGGGGAAGAGTACAGCTCCACTCCTCCAAATTAACTGATGCCAAGGGAGCATACCCAGCTATCCCTGTCCCTGACAGTGACACCAGAGCCAGCTGCTCCCACCCACTGCCACCTGTTGTGGGATGTTTGTACACTGTGTGAAGATGTGTTCTGTGACTGGTGTCATAAAGAGTTAAATGGCCAATAGCTAGTCAGGGCAGGATAGGCGGGACTTCCAGCAGAGAGAGGGGAAGTTAGAGGGATGAATCTAGGCGTGCAGGAGATGCCAAGGGGAGGAGGAACAAGTCAGGAAACCACGCCATGTGACAGAATGCAGATTAATGGAAACAGGTTAATTAAGTCATTAGAGCGAGATAGAAAAAAGCCTGTTTAGGGAACTTACTCCACTAATAGCTTTGAGGTCCTGGCCTTAGGGTGTAGCTACTTGTCTGTGGATGTGATCTCTTAGAAGGAGAGAGACAGAGGTCACACTGTCTCTTGGGTTGTGAAGACTGGGTCAGGCAGTGTGAAACACCCTTGGGCAGAACGGAGGGACTTTGCAGCCGGTTATACCTTGCTCTGTATCTGTGAGTCTGTTTCCCCCATAGCATCCCTTTATAAATTGACACACACATGCATGCCCCCCCCCCCACACACACACATGCATGCACACACACACCCCTTTGTGGTTCTCATAATGAGAAAAAAAAACACAAATAAATACAACTGTGCTGTACAAGCCTGAGATTAAGAGTTTCATGCTCTACCAACTGAGCTAGCCCGGAGTGGTGGTGCCCTCCTGTAGTCCCAGCTTTTCGGGAAGCTGAGACAGAAGGAATGCTGGGCTCTAAGTGCACTGCATGCCGACAGGGTGTCAGCACTAAGTCCAACATTGATATGGTGATTTCCCACCAGGCTGCCCGAGGGATCTGGGAACTAGGCACATGCTGCTTCACGCCACCTGACCCAATCTTCACAACCCAAGAGAGAGCGTGACCTCTGTCTCTCTCCTTCTAAGAGATCACATCCACAGACAAGAAGCCATGCCCTAAGGTCGGTACCCCAAAGCTATTGGCAGAATGAATCCCCACAACACCTAACCCAAGGACAAGTTTTCATAATTAGTAGTAAGTCTCTGTGTTGTTATTGTGAGCTAGCGGTCATAAAAGTAAAGCCTGACTACAAATGGTGCCCAACATGACACTCAAGTATCCAAACATAGGGTCCGAGAAAGCTTAAGAAAAGTTCTGGACAAGGAGCCAGACTTGGCTTCCTAGTCTCAAAGTCTCTCAGGTGGGCCAATGCTCACAGCATGGCTCCTGACTACTGCCTGCAGGTTTGAGCCAGCCGCCAGAGCTGAACCACACAGTGAATGGACTGGCCCTTTAAGGCTTGGCTCATGTGGACACAGAAAAGTGAAGACTCACAGAAAGCTAGGTCCAGACACAGAAAACCTCTAGAAAGGTACAGTATGCCTGAAAGGTGCTTAGGTGCTGAAGAAAGAAAAGAAAGTTATAGACAGTCATAGAAATGCTTTTAAAACAAAGTCTTTAAACAGAGCAAAGCAATATTAACAAGTTTGCATCTTAAATGGTGCTTCATTAATTTTAAATTTTTAAAATGCTAATGAACAGAGAATGGCTGTTGAGGGACACTGTATCTTTAGCTGATCTGTACACACTGCACATTCCATACTTGTGTTAATGCAGACATATATGTTACCTTTAAAAGTTTGTGTGTTTACAGAAAAATAAGAGGACCAGACACCAATGAAAACAAGTAGCCCAGGTGATCCAGCCTCTCAGAGTGCCTCTGTTGCAGTTTTCTCGAAATTCTATATCTAGAACAATTTCAAAGCTGCCAGCTGAGAAGGTCCAGCCTCACAGACTACTCCATCCAGGACTTCAGATAAACTCTATATTTTCCCATCACACAGAGACTGAACAGAAAATAATACAGCTAGCTCTCCCAGGACTTGGCCATTGTCCTAGTTTTCTTGGGGTCTCCTACAGATGTTGTTGCCCCCAGACAACAGAAAGCAGTCTAGAGAGCATGACACCCACATTCCCAAAAGGTGGGATGGGTGTTTTCTGTCCATTTGGTAGGTTATGAATGTTTGTCATCATTTAGGGGGGTTGGTTACAAGTTATTATTGGTCTTAGTCAGGGGTGAAACTAAACAAAGGAGATTAGATTCAGGGATCTCATTCTAAAAAGAAAAAGGAGGGTACAGGAATGACAGAATAAAAGGGCAGATTATTAAATCTACTTTTAAACTAAAAAAGCAGCTACTAGTCTTAAATTTTTTATATTGGTATGTTTTTTTTGTATTTTGACACAAATTTAAGGTCATTTTTTGTTATACTGTATTATATGTTTCTATTCTTGTTTGAAGTAGTGTACCTATGCAGCTCATTTTAAAATGTAATGTAAAGTTCTAGTCTTTAAAGACTATTATTTCAAACTGTTTAGGAAAATTAAAAATATAGTTTAGTAGTTAGTCATCTATAACAATGAAATTTGTAGTCATGTAGGTATGTTTTCAAGGTCAAACAGAGATACATTTTAGATAGTCAGGTGGTCTTCAAACACTATGGCATTTAAGGTGTTTTAGTAACATAAGGTTTTTCATGATAGTGAGACACATCTGCTCCTGGCAGCACCAATCTACTTCAAAAAAAGGATAAAGGGCATCAGAGAACCTCCATATGGAGTTTGCTTTCCATGTGGCAAGGCTTAGCCACTGGACAAGAAACTGCTCTTGTCCTGAGTACTGACAGTGTGCTGTCCAAACTGGACAGGCAGGACACAAAAGGAAACTGACAAACTTTGCCAAAACAAGGTAGGACAGTCCTTCAAAATTTCCTGCTTCACAAAAAAAAAAAAAAATGTCTGTCAGATATTCTAGGTCTGTAGGCTGAAGATGGACGCCCCAACATTGCAGAGTAAACGTGGGTGACTGTCCAGGCAGCCAGCTGTCTCTGTAGTTTCTATAGTTTTGGAAGTTGTTTGCTCTACATTTCCTGTTCACTCAGGTGATATTATACCCTTCTCCAGTCTTTGATGGGGTTGAAGACTAAATAGTTACAGCTTTCTTTGTTACCAAATTCAGAAAAGAAACTTACAAAAGAGATGTAAAGTGTATAAGGCTGAGAGACATAAAAGCTTAAGTTGTTTATCTAAAAAAGTGTTTTAAGGTCTAAAAAGGTATTTTTAGGATGGTAATATAAATTATAACAAAAAATGGTTAGGTGTAAAACATTGGACTCAATAAGATAGGGTAGAAAACACAGTATTTTCTCTGAATTTGCCAAACACAAACTGACTGATAACTGTGAATGTAATTCTTATCTGATAATTGTTCTTATTGTTTATAGTTTTACTATCTTAGAGTTAAAACCATTCCTTCTTATTTGGAAAAAGGAGAAATGCTGTGGGATGTTTGTACACTGTGTGAAGATGTGTTCTGTGACTGGTGTGATAAAAAACCGAATGGCCAGTGGCAAGGAAGGAGAGAATAGGTGGGATTTCCAGCAGACAGCGAGGAAGCCAGAAGGATAAATGTAGGCTTGGAGGAGATGCCACTGGGACGCAGGATAAGTTGGACACATGGGGCAGAGGAAAGGTAACCGCGTCACATGATAGAATGCAGATTAGTAGAAACAGATTAATTAAGTTATAAGAGCTAGCTAGAAAAAAGAAACCTAAGTCAAGCTTTCATAATTAATAAATCTCTGTGTTGTTAGTGGTGAGATGACGGTCACAAAAGAAAAACCTGACTACACCGGGTGGCTAGGCAGAAGGCCGCTGAGGGAAGGTAAGGACTCTGGCAGTCACAGCCAGATGGTCTCAGTGCTGGCCTCACACCTGACTGCCTGTACCAAACACTTCCAAGTCCCTGCTCAAGTTCATCCCAGAGACTGAATATCCAACACACACCTCTCTGACTCCCTAGACCAGATGCTCACAACCTTCCCAGTGCTTTGACCTTTAACTCAGTTCCTCATGTTGTGGTGACCCCTCAGTCAGAAAATCATTTCGTTGCTACTTCATAACTGTAATTTTGCTACTGTTATAAATTATAATACAAGTATCTGTGTTTTCTGATGGTCTTAGGGGACCCCTGTGAAAGGGCCCTTCAGCCTCCCCCAAAGGGTTGCGACCCACAGGTTGAGAGTCCCTGCCTGAGAGCTTAAAATGAACCATACTTGGCCAAAAGTAAGCACGCACTGTGACTACCAGGCTGTGCTCCGTAGACTTGGGAATCACTTAGGCCCTTCTGGCTGAACCTGGAACAAAAATGTCTTCTGCCAAAGCAGGCATTGCCAACCTGCTTTGGCAATGGAAGGAAGGACCAACATTTCTCATTTCCAAACTACCACAGCCAGATGTTTTTGACAAAATGCAGAAGAAGAAAAATATTGCAGGAGTGTGAAATCACCCTCAAAGTTGAAAGCATTTCCTCTACCTTTTGGACTTCCTTGCTATGGAGGAACACTCCCTGGGAGGCTCTGTCCCAGAGCTGGTGTCAACACAACATTCTCCAAGTGTGAGGCAGTAAATCTTGAGGCTGCCGGGTACATCCTGTCTTGGGCAAACCTTCCATAGGCAGGTATCCATGGACATCTATTCCCTATAGGTAACAGCCCCGATTCATCGAGCCCAGCTCCGAACTATACGGGCTACAGTTTTCTGACCCTAGCTTCCAAGGCCTGTGGGCAGCCTTCCTCCCGCTCCCCCAGGCTCTGAAGTCACAGAAAGCCACTGTGGTTAGCTTCAAGACCACTGTAGTTGCTATGCCATCAAGGGCATGTGGCCGAACCTCGCATGGCTTTCCTTGACGGTTAAGGCCAAACCTAAACTTCTGTTTCTACACCCGTAACTTCATATGAGAAAGAAAAGAGCACGAAGACAGCTACAGACCGAACTCGAGAAAAGCGTAGGGCCGGGAGGCCAGGCCGATGCACGTGGTGTCGTAGGAAGCTGTGAAGTCCCACCACAGAGTCTCCAGGAAGCAGAAGACCATGGCTGCCGGGCACTGACGTGAGCAGATGGCCATGCAGGCCACGCCCCCCGATGAAGAAAAACTGAAAGAGAAGGCAATGTCTGAGCTGCCAGGAAACAGAACAGATCCCCACCTCACCTTTGTTGATGTTCTTTCTGCTTCTCTTTGCTTTGCTTTAAAGACAAGAGCTCTCTATGTAGCCGAGGCTGGCTTCAAATTATGTAGCCGAGGCTGGTCTTTAACTGATGAGCCTCCTGCCTCAGCCTCCTGAGAGCTAGGATTACAGGCCCAGACTTGATGCATGCAATACATGCAGGCAAAGCATTCATACACATAAAATTAAATACACAAATCTAAATTTAAAAAAAGTTTAATCAAAGACTAAGGCTGTGGAGATGGCTCAGCACATAATGGCTCTTGCTGCCCAGACTGACAACCGGGTCACATCCCAGAATCCACATTAAGAAGCCAGATCTGCAGGTGTGCAGCTGTAATCTGAGCAATCCCAGGGCAAGACGGGAGCTGGAGACAGGGCTGCTAAAAAGCTTGCATGCTGGCTAGCCTGGACAACGAGGGAGGCCTAACCTTACCACAGTGGGAGGAAGGATCTCCGTGTGCACATATGACCTGACCTTACCACAGTGGGAGGAAGGATCTCCGTGTGCACATATGACCTGACCTTACCACAGGGGAGGAAGGATCTCTGTGTGCATGCTATGGCATCTGAATAACCACATTTATGTTTACACATATGTGTGCACACATGCATACACACCTCATGATAATAATAATTTTAAAAGAGAAATGACTGCCAGGCTGTGGTGGTGCATGCCTTTAATCCCAGCACTTGGGAGGCAGAGGCAAGTGGATCTCTGTGAGTTTGAGGCCAGCCTGGTCTACAGAGTGAGTTCCAGGACAGCCAGGGCTACACAGAGAAAGGAAGAAAGAAATGACTAAGCTGCCTCTGTGACAACAAGGGTGAATATTTAATTCAGAACCTAAAGAAGCAAGTGAGTTGGGGGTGACTCACAAGGAAAGCCCTGGCCTAGAGTGCACAGGTGTTGAGGTCCACCCCTGGCACCATAAAAATAAGCAAAAGGAGAAAAACAAGAGCAGAACATTCCATAGTCCTGTTTTATACAAGTTACCAAGGTCGCCCAGATTTGATCATGATGCTGTAGGTATTTTCAGGAAAAGGGAGTCCTGTTTGATGCACAAACAGCTTTGCAGAGCTCGTAGAGACCATGAGAGGAGGAGGCAGTGGTGTCAGCAACTTGGGGAGTCCTCGCCACAAGGTGGCAGCTCAGGCCTCCAACTGGCTGCTTTCAAATCCTGGCTCTTTCACTCACTGAAACTTCCTCAAGTCTTAAGCAGCTTGACCTCAATTCCTCCTCTGTAAAGCATGTGACCCTACCTGACCCTAAGTGCCTCATAAGCCACTGGAGGCGCAGGAGCGGGGTGAGAGTACAAAGCATCCACAGCCTCCAGCATCAGCACCACTGGGTACAAAGCATCCCTAGCCTCCAGCATCAGCATCACAGGGTACACAGCATCCACAGCCTCCAGCATCAGCACCACTGGGTACAAAGCATCCCTAGCCTCCAGCATCAGCATCACAGGGTACACAGCATCCACAGCCTCCAGCATCAGCACCACTGGGTACAAAGCATCCACAGCCTCCAGCATCAGCATCACAGGGTACAAAGCATCCACAGCCTCCAGCATCAGCACCACTGGATACAGAACATCCACAGCTTCCAGCATCAGCACCACTGGGTACAAAGCATCCACAGCCTCCAGCATCAGCATCACAGGGTACAAAGCATCCACAGCCTCCAGCATCAGCATCACAGGGTACAAAGCATCCACAGCCTCCAGCATCAGCATCACAGGGTACAAAGCATCCACAGCCTCCAGCATCAGCATCACAGGGTACAAAGCATCCACAGCCTCCAGCATCAGCATCACAGGGTACAAAGCATCCACAGCCTCCAGCATCAGCATCACAGGGTACAAAGCATCCACAGCCTCCAGCATCAGCATCACAGGGTACAAAGCATCCACAGCCTCCAGCATCAGCACCACTGGGTACAAAGCATCCACAGCCTCCAGCACAGCATCACTGGTACAAAGCATCCACAGCCTCCAGCACAACATCACTGGATACAGAACATCCACAGCTTCCAGCATCAGCACCACTGGGTACAAAGCATCCACAGCCTCCAGCATCAGCACCATAGGGTACAAAGCATCCACAGCCTCCAGCACAGCATCACTGGTACAAAGCATCCACAGCCTCCAGCATCAGCACCACTGGTACTCACCATGGGCTTTCCCTGTCCTATTAAACTCCATAATCTATTTCTCTTATTCCCTCCCTCAGGAGACTTCAAGTTCTTTGAAAAGAGAGAGACCTACCCTCACTGACTTTCAGTCGCTGCGCCCCCTTCCTGTCATGGAATAGCAAAAAGAAAAACTGGGCTGGGGCGAGGCTTAGTTGACAGAGCGCTTGCACAAACCACGTGTGACAGCACTCGCTGTGGAGGCAGGAGGGTCAGAAGGCCCAGGCCACCCTCAGCTACAGTCTAAGGGCATGGCTTGGGGAACTCTTGTGTCTGGGTTCCTCTACTCTCAGTCTTTTCTCTCCTTAGCACTGAAATGCAGCTTCTCGTCTTCTTCCTTCTGCTGTATCTAAGTGAAAAATAAAATTGACTGAGAGGGTACCCACTGGGGGGGGGGCAGCCAGGTCTCCCCAAATTTGAGGGTGCTCTATCACGGATCAACACGCTGAATGAGGGCTCAGAGAATGGACATCCACTCCTTCCCTGACTCTGTTGAGAGCATACACCACCTGACTGCTGAGATCATGCCTTTAACCTTTAACCTTTAACGTACGCTGCTCCAGCAGTGTTACCCCAGCATGTGGGTAAAATGACCCCGACATTGCTGACATCCTGGAGAAGTGAGTATGTTCACTTACTAGATATTGAAGTCACGGCTTTCTGCAGAACCACGGCCTGGATACTGAGGCAGCCTCCGGGCTAAGGCCTTGAGCTGCCTCCGGCATTCCAGAAACTCCTGGGCGTGGTAAAAGTCAGTGGAGGCTGAGAGGGGCAGTCCATCCCGCACCCGTACGACACTGGCAAAAAGGATCATGGGCATGGTCCACAAGAGTCGTCATGAGGACACCTGAGGACAGCAAGGTCGCCTTGTCAGGGAGGCCAGGTGATGATGCCAGAGATTCCTCTACTGGAACTGCCAATTATGCCCCCCACCCCCGTGTCTCTCCCAATTTTCTCCACTTTCCTTCCTTCCCTCCTCCTCTCTATCGAAGCCTTCCCTTTCCAAAACTAAGCCCACTGGGAAGGAGCACAAGGAGATGGAGGGGGAGGAGGTGGGGCCAGACTCGGGAGCAGCAGCAGCTGCAGCTGGAAACAGGTTGCAGAGTTCGAGGCCCTAAAGGGACAGGAAGTGCCTGACAAGTGGCATTTGTCCGGTCGCCCAGGGAAGGAGGCACTGAGAGGTTCAACTGTCACACGAGAAAATGGAGGGGAGTCTGGGAGTCTGGGCACTGCGGTGGAGGTGACGGGGAGAAGCAGAAGGCAGCTGGGGATCGGAGAGCACAGCCTTTGGAATGTCTGCTGTGTGATACAAAGCTACTCTTCAGGACGACGACGACGACAACGATGACGATGAGTCCCTACAGATGGCTGGAGGGAAGCAGTCAGCATATCTCAGCATGGTAAGACAGCAAATATTTGGTCATGCTATGTGAACACATTAAGAAACAAAAGGAAATAGTTGTGGGCCTTGTGGTGCCTTTGGCGAATTATGAAAAGGTGCCTCTCAGACTGGAAGGGAACCTGTGTTAGCACAGCCACACAGCCCAGCAGGGGCCGGTCTCCACTGGACAGGACACGGCCCTGCAACCAGGATTGGTTAGGCGGCCAACACAGCTTCAGCTGGTCCTTCCGTGCTGCACATCCCCCTCTGCATCCTGTCTGCTGGGCCCTCTGTTTAGTGGGCAGGTGATCTCTCTGTCTCTCTGTCTCTTCCCAGCCCCCCCGCCCTTCCTACACACAGAGGAGATCTCAACCCCATTATATCCCCAAACCTCCCAGGCTTGCCAGGCTGAACTGACTTTCGCCACCTGTCAAATATAACACTTTTTCTCATCTCCCTGGTTTAGCACACCCCTAGAGAAGGTTGTTAGGAACAAAAGTCTTGCTTAAAATTTCTGCAGTCCCCATAGAGCCAGGCCAACCACCAGGGGACACTGTAGGCTGTAGAGCCTCACATAGCCAATGCAGAGACCAACCCCAGTGAAGAAGGGCACTGAGCATGCTCAGTACTACCTGCTACCCTCTGTGTTTGCAATACTGATTTTTTAAAAACATTTTTACAAAGTCCTAACTGAGACAGAGGAAGCACAAAATATCAGTTTGAGAACAAAACAAGCCTGGGGTTCAAAATGCTAACTCCAAACAACAGCCTCATACGGCCGGTATAGCCTTATCTGACATGAAGAAAAAAATAATTAAATGAAAAAAAGACCATGAATCAAAAATATGACAGAAGAGTTAAGACAAGCCCCAAGCACCTGAATGGAATGTAAAACATCTACCAGCCGGTCAGTGGTGGTGCGCGCCTTTAGTCCCAGCACTCAGGAGGCAGAGGCAGGTGGGTCTCTGTGAGTTCAAGGCCAGCCTGGTCTACAAGAGCTAGTTCCAGGGTGGCCAGGGCCACACAGAGAAATGCAGTCTTGAAAAAGGAGAAAAATACATAAAACAAAACTACCATATGTTAGCTGCCTGCTAAGGCTGCAAGGAGGAAATCAGTGTCATTCCCAGGTGACAGTAGCCCTGAGAACCAGTTTGGCTACTCTCAAAGACCCAGAAGACCTCAGCTTCACCTATAAGACTTTCACTGACCAAACCTGCTTTTCCTCAATAAGGTAAATAAAAGTTCTGACTTAAGCTCTGTCCTGTTATATGAGAGCAGCAAAGAACGGAAACCTTTAAGTCCTTCAGAGTATCTACGACACTTGAATAAAGGTGGCATTATGAATTTGTCACCTCTGTGTGACTGAGATGGCAGCTGCTGGGGGGGGGGGGCTGAGGAACTTAACACTCATCTGGGGAAGAATTTTAAAAATGGAGACACTACTTTTAACACCATTTTCCTTTAGTAACGTGCACCTTGGGGCGGGAAGATATAACTCAGTGGCAGGACATTCACCCCACATGCTTAAAGCCCCGGGGCCAATGCCTGGCATGGCATGGCAAGCAAACAACTACTCACTTCAAAGGACCGGAATGGGTTTGTAATACAGGGAGGGCTGGCCTTCCTGGGGATTCATGTTTGTGAACTTGGGGTCCTGAGCTACTGTGAGGCAATCTATACCTGAATAAAAGGGCTTGCCTGGAGGCCTGTTGTCCCTGCACTCCGGTGGGTGAAGGAGGAGGACCCTGAGTTCAGCCTGGGCTACAAAGTGAGACCCTGCCTCCAAAACTCAGAATAGAAAAGGGGAAGGGGAAGTGATGTAGCTGTTCTGTCCCTGCAAGCGCAGAGCAGGGCTTCTCCAGGTCCTACTAAGTGCAAACAAAGCCTTGGACCTCAGCGACAGAACATTCATAAAGAGGTTCCACATGGAGGCAAGAGAGCAAATGGCAGGATCATGGGACCCTCTGTCGCACATCTCACACCTAGTGTTGGAGGAACCAGCAACTCAGAGCAGCCAATGAGCAGAGGGCACAGGAAACACAAGCCCATCACTACAACAAAACCTGCTTCCTTTACTCAGCATCAGGACAGGTGCAGCCTCATAAACCAGGAAAGCCTTGCATTCAAAACTAGTCTGGAGGATGGAGAGACAACTCACGGTTAGAGCACTGGCTGCTCTTACAGAGGACTCAGGTTCAACTCCCAGCACCCACATGGTGGCTCACAGCCATCTATAACTCCTGTTCGGGTGATATAAGCCCTCTTCTGGCTTCTTCGGGTACTGCCCCCTTGTGCACGCACACGCACGTACACACAAACACACACACACACACAAATATCTTATCTGGGTGGTGGTACATCACGGGCTACAGGACAGCCAGGGATACACAGAGAAACCCTGTCTCAAAAAAAAATCAATCAATCAATCAATCAATCAATCAATCAATCAATATAAATATTTTTAAAAGACTGCTGAGTAGATGGATAAGGAACTGATTTATCTATTTCCGTTCACTGAAACAAGAAATGTTAAGTCTGCAGCATCTCTGCGTACTTCTGAAACAGATTTTGATCATTCTCATACAAGAATCCTCTTGGAGAGAGAACAAGGAAGGTTTCCACGGATGGCACTCTGTGTAAGTAGAAACATGGGTGATGATCAAAAGGTCCATGCTCATATGTTTTATATAACACATTTTTTTCCCCTGGAAATAGGGTTTCTTTGTGTGGCCCTGTCTGTCCTGAAACTCACTCTGCAGACCAGGCTGGCCTTGAACTCACAGAGATCCACCTGCTGCCTCTGCCTGCTGAGTGCTGGGATTAAAGGTGTGAGCACATCTGAACCCACTTCCCTCACTACCTAAATTCTCTTTACCATGTTGGCCGCTGTCAAATATCAGATTATCCCTGCTCTATCCACTGTTGCTGGAGGTTCTTTCCCACCAGGTCCCACTGCTGCTTCGGACCCCAAATAAACACACAAGATGCTATATTAGTTATTAAACTGTTGGCTGATGGCTAGGGCTTCTTACTGGCTAGCTCTGTCTCAACTATTAACCCATTTCTACTAATCTGTGTATAGTCACAAGGCTGTGGCTTACCCATAATCTGGCATGTTACTCCTTCGGCAGGATGGCATCTCCCCACAGTCGCTCTCTCTCTCTCTCTCTGCCAACCTTTCCCAGAATTCTCCTTGTCTTCTAGCCATGCCTATCTTCCTGCCTCTCTTGGCCAAACTGTTTTATTCATCAACCAATAAGAGGAACATATATACAGAAGGACTCCCCATCAATCCACAGACTCTGTGCCTAAACCAGGACTCACTCTTCCTTGTCACTTTCCTCTCTCGTCTACTCTTTAGCTTCCCCCAAGTCCACCTAGCATGCAGGCATGGGGGAGGGGCAAAAATACAAACTTCAACTAGGAAAATGAGCCATATGTAGCACACAAATACTTAAGCACGGTACTCCCGAGGAAAGCACGCTAAAGGAGCAGTGAACCCATGATGGATTCACTCTCCGCCAAGGACTCTTGAGACCTGATTACTTAACTTGGGATCCTCTAGGCTCCGAGTTGCTTGGGGATGCGGCAGAGAGGGATACAGAAGTCAACTATGTCATCCTTGCGGGAACGGAAAACAGAAGGAAGCTGAACTGGACAGGACGTAGGCAACATCACACCCTTCCCTCGACACTCCATCTTAGCCCAAAGAAAGGCTGAGAAGAGACTCAGCCCTCCCTCTGTGTCCCTGCTCAGCCCTCCCTCTGTGTCCCTGCTCAGCCCTCCCTCTGTGTTCCTGCTCAGCCCTCCCTCCCTCTGTGTCCCTGGTACTTACTGCCCCTGCAGATTCATCCAACCTCAGATAAAAAATACTTTAAACAACAACAACAACAAAACAAGAACAAACACCCTGCGTCTGTATTGAACATGTACAGGCTTGTCATTTCCTAAGCAATGCCATGTCGAAACCACATACAAAGCCCACTATATAGCTGTTATCATTAATGCACATATTATCTGAAGCATACAGGAGAATACGCACGTTATCCACAGTGAGCCACTGTATACAGCGGGTTGAGCCTGACCTCTCAAGGACGCAGAGGGACTGGGCCCCTCGGGGATAATGCTAGCAAGTGCTCAGAGCTTCCTTTGATCCACTATGTAGGTGAGGAACCTGCTTTTCCTGAGGATTTAGGAAGTAGGACTAGGCTTCAATCCCAGACTTCTGCATTCTTCCCACGGCCTGCAGATCTCCAAACCAAACCCCTGGGATCACAGCTACTGTTTCTCTAAAGACTTCCTTCTCCGGAGCAGCCCTGCAAACAGCCAATCAGAAGCTGAGTGTGGGGCTCAAACCTGCAATCCCAAGGCAGCTGGGGCCATAGTGAGACTGCTTAAAAGAAAAAAATCTCCGGACTTGGTTGGAAGGAGGCCAAAGGTTACACCTGTTATAACTGCCCCTTAGGAAGCAGGGTATGACGGCTTATGAGCTTAATACCAGCACTTGGGGAGTGTAGGCAGCAAAGTAAGGAGCCCGAGGTCACCCCCAGATAAGTGGCATGTTCAAGACCAGCTTAGGCTAAGTGACACCCTGTCTAAAAAGAGAACAAAGTGGGTGGGTGAGTTCAGCAGTGCACACCTTGGACCCCAGCACCTGGGAGGAAGAGGCAAGCAGATTTCAAGACCAGCCAGGGCTACATAGCAAGACCTTGTCTCTCAAACAAAATAAAACCACTCGTCCCTATGCTGTAAAGTCAGCTGCCTTGCCTTGCCTGGCCATGTACATTGTGGGCTTAGCTGATCTGAAATCAGTTTTGTTTTGTTTTGGTTTTTGAAGACAGGGTTTCACTGTGTAGTCCTGGCTGTCTTGGAACTCACTGAGATCACCTCCCCCCTGCCTCTCAAGTGCCGGAACTAAAGGTGTGTGCCACCATCTCTGGTTTGATCTGAAATTCGTTGTGGGACCCCAGGATGTCCTCTCTGCTGTCTGTAAAACATTAAGTACTGTCTACTTAAATGATGCAACCATCTTCCTGAGGAAGCTGCTCTAACTGAATCCCGCTTATGGGTGTCAAACCACTTAAAACCGTCCCCATTTTCATTTCCTTAAAGGGCTCTTCACCTGAAGAAACTTTCTGTAGACTTCTACAGACATGTGTCCTACCAGTTTCTGATCTTATCACCAATTACACCAACTGAGTTGGGCACGGAAGTCACACATCTGCGATCCCAGAACCTGGACGCTGGAGGCAGGAGGATCCCAAGCTCAAGGCCAAACTCGGGTTACATGGGACCTTGTCTCACAAAACCACAAACTGTACCAACTCCTCTCATCAGTGGCAACTCTCTTCCTTCTGTGGCTTTGGCTTTGTGCAAGCCTGACGCCCGCCCTGCTCTGTAGGTCCTTTGTCCTGGAATATCCAAGTCCGGGAAAGTTGGTGCAGGGTGACCAGGCCTTGAAGAAACCAAGTCCTGAAAGACCAGCAGGCTAAGGAAAGTTCGCTATCAAAAGAAGCAAGAGCCAGGACCAGAGCTCAGTGTACCGAA